AATCGTTTTTGCTAATAAAAAATTTTCTGCAATTACGACGATTTATTAAGTTCTGATTTCGTTATTTTTTTCAGTGCTCGTGGTAAGAACTGCCTGCGAGTTTCAAATATGCCAACAAAGTTAACGATACCAACCAATACGAAGCCTGGCCAGATTTACGATGCTAATCTGCAGTGTGAATTGATGCATGGGCCAGGTTACCAACAGGTGCGATCATTCAATTTTCTTTTCTCTTGCTTTACTATGGTCACTCTATCAAACCGGTTATCCTTCAACAAAAAAAAGAGGTGACGACAACGTCAGCTAGACAGGAGATATTTTAACTTTTACGATTGTTTTATTGCAGGTGACACCAAGGCAGGACGCTTTCGATGGGATTTGTTACATGATGTGGTGTGGTCAGTCGTCATTCGGCAGGATCATAACTTCGCATCCGGCTCTTGAAGGTCATTTCACTTTATCTGAACCAGTACACATTTTGTCATGTTTTTTTGCTTCAACGATGTACTTTTGTCGCGGCTCGTTCAAGAAAAACGATACAACCGCGAAAGGTGATTAAAAGCTCCCATACCTTACGCGAATGTTGACAGCTTCTCAGCGTTTTTTACCGTTAGCGAAACGTAAAAAAGGGAGAGCAAGCATGGGAAAATGAACATACAAAAAAATCAGAAAATTCTATGTATTTCTTTTAGGCACATTCTGTGGTCCAAATAAGTGGTGTCAATTGGGAAAGTGTGTGCCATGGAACGGAAATCGCAACACAGCAACAACATCTCCTACCGCTAACATGAAAAGCCTTTCACCACAGGTTCCTTCTAGTCCAGCTTGGGTTGTACCTAAGGTTAATAGCTTTCTAGTTTTACTGACAGCAAATTTTTGTAGGATTGTAATATTTCATTAAAATCTCTACTACACTCTTTACTAACGTAATAGAATTTATAACAAATTGTCAGAGATAAGAAACTTTTTTCTTGGGAAGCTAACACCCTCTTCGAGTTAGAAGTTTTCGAGAAAACTGTAAAGTTTTACCATCAGTGAGAAATTGTTAGTAAATTTAAGTAGTTTTATCGCGTATGCTTAAAGTGCCACTCTTTAAAACGAGCTTAGATAAGCGTTGATCATTGTTAAAATAGTCATAACAGATCCAGTTCTCCGCTCTCGTCCTTTAAATTTGTCATAATATCGCTTACGCAAGTTTCCAGCGACTGAATGCGCGTCTGTTGCTATTGCATATTTTGAT